GCTGTGAAATACCAAATCAATGACAACACTTAAACTAAATGATGAATAAGATAAAAATCACTTCAATTATTCCAATGAACAATTCAGTGGAATGGAGCACAATTCCCACCTTGATTTGACTCTGAGAAAATACACATTGGCACAAAATCTTTGAACATATTCAACGAGTAGCCTTTAGGAATGTTTCGAGCTTCATTTCCAGCCATTTCCATTGAAAACTGATAACAAACACACAATACCAGCAAAAAATAATCGGCCCGCACGCGTGAATGGACATATTGAGCATATAATATAAATGTGCAATCCAACTATTAACTTAGACTTTTAGTTAAGATGGAGCACATGATTTCACCAAATTAATTCACACATATAAAACTTTCCCCAGCTGAATCCGATGAAGGAACACTCAAATGACAAAGAAAGAGTAAATTTCCAAACATATCACATTTATGTAGCTGTAATTAATGTTATGCAGTGATAAAGAGAGGAAATGAGTGTTACTTGGAGAGATTCTTCGGGCTTAAGAGGGTCGAGAGAAACGACGACTTTACCCACTAGAGGAGTATCTGCGGAGGAGGAGGCCGCCGCCTGAGACTGCCACGACTTGGAGACGACTAGAGGACACTTCATCAGCCTTGCCGGTGTCCACGGCGGCGGCGGTGTCGCTGACGCTGCCATCGTCTTCTTCCATTTCTTCTTCTTCAACTGTGTTGTCTGATCGTTTGATTTTTTCTTTTCCAATTCTTTGCTTTGTTCCAATTTTGACGATGGAGATGTTGAAATTGAAAGACTGAAATGGACCATAAGACCCGTTTTGGAAAGATTTAAGACCAGAATCTACCAAGCAGCTAAATCCGACATTTGGATTCTCAACATCTCCGAGCTCAAATACAACCTACGACTCGGCTCCCTTATTCAATCTTTGTAACCAAAAAAGAAGAAACAATTTTTAGTACCAAAAAAAGAATAAACAATTTGTAGTTTATCCTAACAAATAGGGGCAATTTGTCAAAGAATTTATGATCAAATGACACAAAATTGTTGTCTCATAAAGAGAGGTTGTGAGTTCTCGCCTCAGTGGAGGCGATATTGACTCTTTGTGTTTCATTTGGTTGAGAAAGTAGTTATGAACAATACTACATTGTAATAAAGTCGATAGTATTCAAAAAAATGGGCAATTTATATCATGAACCAGGTCTACATAGCATTGTGGACCTCTACATGCTAATAGAGTCAGTAGTATTAAAAAAATAGACAATTTATATCATGAATCAGGTCTACATAGCATTGTAGACCTTAGATAAAAAAAGCGACATCGTTTTAACATTTATAATAATTTAATAGATTTTGTAGTTTTTTGTTTGACATGTTTCAACACTATTATGGCCCGTTTGGTTCACGGAATAGGCCGGGAATGGCATAGCATTCCTAGTAATAGGTCTATTCCTTTGTTTGGTAACCATTTCTATTACCGGGAATAATATTCCTAGTAATAGCCTATTACCTCAAATAAGGTAATAGCTATTACTAGGCCCCCCCCTGATATTAGCCTATTACTGAACCCTCAGGAATAGATTTTAGAATCTATTTTCTTTTTTACCCCTTTCTTTAACCTAATTTTTTAACCCTATATATAAATTTATCTTATTTCACCACCGTCGTCGCCACCACCACCATCAATACCGCCGCCACCACCACCATCGCCGCCCCCATCACTGCCACCCCAGCACCACCACCGCTACCAGAACCACCACCGCCACAACCGTCGCCGCCCCCACCACCACTGCCACAACCGTCACCGTCACCACCACCACCGTCGCCCCCACCACTGCCACCACCACCACTACCACCCCAGCACCACCACCACCACTGCCACCACCACCATCACCACCATGGCCACCGCCACCACCATCACCACTGCCACTGCCACCGCCACCATAGCCACCTCACATATTTTTATAAGGGTATTTATGTCTTTTAAAATATATTTCATTTCTATTCCTTAAATCAACCAAACACTGTAATATAATCCTAAAATTTATTCCTTCCGCGAACCAAACAATAGAATACAATTCCTATTCTATTCCTTGCCTATTCCATTCCTTATGGAATAACATTCCTATTACCTCAAAATTCATTCCATGAACCAAACGTGTTGTTAGCGAATAACATGTAAAATGATAATACTAAGGAGTCTAGGTCACTACTTGCTCATCGAATAACAACTCACTATATTGGATTTATGTATTTTAGCTTTAGCTGCAATCCACAAAATAATACATGCCCGCAGTAGGTATGTATTATTGTTATTAGCCAAACATATAAACTATAGGCGGAAAAATTGATTATATATATAAAATTAAGTTGGATCAGTAATTAAAAAGCTTTTAAAATAACAAATAAAGATACTTAAGCTTTCAACATACTTTTGGCTTGCAAGCAGGAGCTCGAAAGCTTTGTCGAATGGCAGATTCTATGGGTTGCTCGTGAATGTAATCGCCCGGTCAACGCACTTGCAGCTTGGACTCGTCGTATCCTTAGAGGTCTTTATATTTTAGAAAATCCTCCAAACCATGGTAACTGTCTACTCTTAGATGATCTGAACCAGGTTCCTATGTGGTGACTAAATACAGACTGTTGATCTCTTATTTTTGGGGTTACCCCCTCCAATTTGAAATAAAAAGATAAATTACATTAACAAAACAGGATAAAGAAGAGTCTGCAACGAATTGAAGTTTACTTGTAGGGAGACATGTGAAATTAAAATTCAGGTAGGCATTTAACTATTTATCAGTCATCATTTTCAGCAACTCCAAATCCAGATCGAGATCATTAAACCAATCACTCCAATCCTCAGGCTACAAAAAAATCAAAACCAAAATAATATTACTATGAAATTTGAGCTTTGTTAGTTTCATCCAAAAAAGGCATGAAAGGTAATTAGGAGATTGGCTATGCCTGAGATGAGGAGTGCTGCTCGTTGAGACTTTGTTGAGATGTTCCAACAATATCATGCAACTGATTGTTACTGTTTAACTGCTGCGACGGCGCCGGAGCTATTGACGGCATAACCTGCATTTCAATTTCTTTGTTAATGTTACGTTGTTTTCAAAAACAACGAAATTCACATAAATGATATATATATATAGGTTCAGGTGCATTTAAGGTTTTCCCGTGCAGTTGTGCGGGTGATTAATGTGCGTGAGTTTTGTGCTTAATGTGAGTGAGTGTGTACTTAATGTGAGTTATTGTGTGAGTTGTTGAAACTTTAAAGTGCATGAGTTTTATCCTTAATGTGCGTGAGTCGTGTGCTTAATTAAGGTGCGTGAGGTTTGTACTTAATGTGCGTGAGTGTGTACTTAACTACTTAATATGAGTTGTTTTTAAAACTTAAGGTGCGTGTGTTTTTGTGCTTAACATGCGTGAGACTTGTACTTATGCGTGAGGTTGTGTTCTGAAGGTGTTTTGTTTGTGTGCTTAATGTGCGTGTGTTGTGTACTTTAACTCTTTAAGTGTTTCGAATTAATGCTTAACATGCGTCCACCCGCACAACCGCACGGGAAGCCTCAAATGCACCTAATCCCTTCCCTTCCTTATACAACCCACTCAATTCATTAATTCAGAACGTAACGATAGAAATACCTGGTACATGGGCATGTTCAAATTTTGACTAGGATAATAACCATTAATTCCACTATTAGTCGCAAAATGCATCTGGGCTGCAATTGCTTGATCCATGCTGCTCTTATCATAGTTTTGATTCTTAAGGTTCAGGTATTCCTTTATGTGTCTGGCAAGATTGTTTTCCCTTTGCGACTTTCTTTTGAAATTTCGATATTTCTGTTAATTTTCAAATCAAATGTTAAATTGGTGTCACTAACTTTCTTAAAAAACTGTTAATAAATCTTAATAAATTAAAAAAAAAAATCCATTCATTATTATTAAAAGAAAATATACTCGAAAAAAAAGAAAGAAAGTAAATATACCTGCAGATGGCTTTTAACTTGCTCACTCGTTAACTGTAATCCCGGTTCATTCTCTAACATGCCTTTCAAAACCGCAGCTGGCGTAACATCTGTGTGTAGGGAAAGTTTGAAATACACATTAAAAAAATAAAAGAAAAACAGATAAATTCACTTCGACTTTCAATGTAATGCATGCCGTCTAGATGATTGATGGCCCCGGGTCAGGATGTCAATTGGGCCAACCCGTTTGGATTTGGACTAACTTGCAGGAGTCGGCAAATTATGTTGTGTATCCGTATGTACCATGCATAGCTCCTGCAACATAATTTGTTGGCTACACAACATAATTTGTCGAAATTGAATTCATAATTTCTATACGATAAATTCATAATTATTGAACTCTATATTCACAATTACAGAACTCTATGTTCATAATTTTCGATGTTCATGTTTTAAATTGTTGAACTCTGTATTCACAAATCACAGAACTATATGTTCATAATTTGATAATTATACAATTTAAAAATTATGAATCTACAGTACATATATGTTGGTGATAATGAACCAAAATCAATTTAATATCTCAAAAATAATATTTATATATACACACACAAGTATATAAAATATTATTGTATATATAAATATTATTGGATATTTATCCGAAATATATATATACACACAAATATATATACAACGAACCCAAAAGTTATATAAACATGTATATCTACGAAAAAGATATATCAAATTACCAATATATATCAACCAAAATTAGAACAAATAATCCTTAGATTATAAGTCCAATCCAACAAATATATCAAAAGAGGGAGAACGAATTTTTGCTTAAAAGCATAATCCAAAACCGAAAGAAGGAGAAGGAAGAAAGAAATATACGAGTTAGGCGAGGTGCCTTTCTTTCCTTAAAACCTTATTTGCCACCTCCCAAAAGTGCTAGGAGCGTTGTGGCCTAGGTTTCCCAGGATAAAACGTACAACGATTCGACGTTTGAGCACCCAAACGAACGAACCCGGCGAACAAGAGTACGGGCAAAACACAGCTTCAAGAATGGAGTAGGAGCAGGGATTTTGGAGCTGGAAAACAGAATTTCCTGTGTTGTGTGTGTTGTTCTCTCTGTGTAGAAACACTGCTGCTACACTCCTTATATAAGAGGTGAAGAATCAATAGCATTCAATTTTGACATTTAATGCACGATTTTTAATACCTGAAACAACCACCATTATTTGAGATTTAACTCAAAAATTCAAAACTGAAATTAATACAAGATTAATTATGTAACAGTCCAAAACAAACGAATGGTTCGCGCTGTTTCAGCCCGGTTACTTTCGGCCAAGGCAGCCACTTTCGGGATGCACACGAGAGTCGAGACTTGTCCACGAGCTCGGGCTTGAATCAAGCCTTTTCGATCTCGTTTCTAGTTGGATCCCACTGATAATTGTACCACAAAATAGCCACTTAACATGTCATTTTATGCCATTTTAATGCTATTTTTTCAACAATATATTATTAATCTGCAGTATAGCAATTATAAATCTACTGTATAGAAATTATGGATCTACTGTATTTAGGGTTCGTTTGGAAAGCAGGAAAATGATTTCAGGAAAATGTTTTCCGGAAAATGAGTCATTTTCCGGTGTTTGGTTGCATTCTGGAAAACTGTTTTGGTGTGTTTGGTTCATTTTCTGAAAAATGAGTAGAATTGTATAATTAAACCTACCAGGACTATGTGGTCCAATGGTACCCGGGTTGGACTTCCATTAGGAAGGTTGTGAGTTCAAGCCTCAGTGGAGGTGTTATTAGCTCTTTGTGTTTCAGTAGGTTGTGAAAGTATATGAACAGATACTACAATGTAATAGAGCTAGTAGCATTCAAAAAAAAAAAAGTATAATTAAACCTTTTAATTATTTTATTTAGAATATTACAACATGTATAATAATATATAATAATAATTTAAAATATAATAAAAAAATAACTAATAATATATCAAAATATTATGGTGTTATGGTGGTGGTGTAGTGGTAGTGGTGTTATTTGTTATATAATAATAATAATAATAATAATAATAATAATAATAATAATAATAATAATAATAATAATAACTGTGGTGGTGGTGGTGGTGGTTGCGGTGGTATGGTGGTAGTGGTGGCGACGAAGGTTGCGGTTGTATGGTCATGGCGGCGGTGGTTGCGGTGGTATGGTCGTGGTGGCGGCGACGGGGGCGGTGGTGGTAGTGGTGGTTGTGTGGTGGCGGTGGTGGTTGGGGTAGTATGGTGGTGGTGGTGACGGCGACGACGATGGTTGCGGTGGTATGGTGACATCAGTGGTTGTGGTGGTATGGTGTTGGTGGTGGTAGTGGTGGTGGTGGTGGCTGCGGCGGTGGCGGTGGTTGTGGTGGTATGGTGGTGGCGGTGGTTGTGGTGGTATGGTGGTGGCGGCGACGGTGGTTGCAATGGTATTGTGGTGGTGGCGGCAGCGGCGATGGTGGTGGTGATGATGTGATGGTGGTGGTGTGGTGGCGGTGGTGGTTACGGTGGTGGTGGTGGTGGTGGTGGTGGTTGCGGTGGTATGGTGGTGGTGGTGGTGGTAATGGTAGTGGTAGTGTGGTGGCAGTGGTTGCGGTGGTATAGTGGTGGTGGCGGCAGCAATAGTGGTGGTGATGGTGGTGGTGGTATGGTGTTGAATTGTTGATGATGTTGGTGGTTGTGTGATGTTGGTGTAAAAGTTGGAAAATGACTTCGCCTCAAAAAAATGAGAAATCATTTTCCTCCAAAACAAGCCTATTTTCCTAAATCAACGGAAAATAATTTCCGTTGACTTGATTTTTCAGACACATCCAAACAATGGAAACTTGAAAAATGATTTCTAGAACTCATTTTCCAGGTTTCCAAACACCCCCTTAAATTATCGTACGGTATAAATTATGAGCCTCCCAGCCATGAAATTGAACTAAGAGGCCGCAGGTGACAATAAATAGATCTTCAATTCTTACCGTCGCCTAATCTTTCCACCACACTAAAGAAGTTGAAATTGAGTTCTCGGGTCCATTTCATCTTGCATCCTTTGCTCTCTGTATCTTTCTTCCATTTATCTCTCAAATCACAAGCTGACATGCCGTTTAGCTCATCAAAACCCTCCACTGCTATGCATTTGAAACCTATACATATACAAAAAATATATATATTTAAGATCATCTCAGAACCCCTGCTTAGGTGAGAAAAGGCAGGTACATACTACTATACATACATTGCATATATATATAACCAATTCAAATTAATCTATTAAATGATTTAGCTCACAAACTATGGGAAGCTGCTGATCAAATTCGCTTTTAATAAATGTTTTTAATTTAGTGTCATCCGGTTGACACTTGTGTGCATATGCAATAACAAGATCAAAGCCTGGCTCCCCTCCCTTCATCAAGAATTCCAAAGCTTGGGAAGGGTTCCTCACTTCAACAACTGCACCTATGCGCCAATAAAGAAATGTTAATCGGCATTTCATAAATACAAGAAGCTAAGGCATTTGTAGAAGCTTAATTAGCTAAGGGGATTGACAAAAACCCGAAACGTGAGTAAACTAATAGGGTATCACTATTGGAAATTATGGAATTTCCGAACACCTGAGAGTGATCTTAAATCAAGTCGAAAGCAAAAAGTGGTCGGAAATAACAACAAAGGTTTTTCCCGATACCAAAAGTGGTCGGAACAAAACTTTCAACTTGATTTAAGATTACTTTCAGGTGGTCGGAAATTTTATAATTTCCAGCAGTGTACGTAGCTAGGGTGGGTTAGTTTCATTCGATGCGTATGCATGCAAGCGTACCTTGAAACTTAGAGTTGATGAGGCTTAAGAGGCGTGCACACATGGACCCATCGTTAACAACAAGAACCTTAGACATGTTTTTTCACCTTTCCTACTTAATCAACTATCCAAGCCAGTGACTATAATATATGAATTGATCTGATGATTGTGTTGTAAGGTTTCCATCCACTTATATACACACATAGTAGATTCCTTAGCTTCTCTATGGAGTGTTCCAACACTAAAGATAATGTGTGTTTCAGTAGACATGAATCCCGATACTAGATTCCTTAATTTTTATAGTCAAATCAAGTTTTACTACTATGCAAAAAAATTATATCAAGTCGACATGGCAAGCTGTTAGACTCCCTATCCCACCCAGGCCACCACCAGAATTGAAGTATGCCCATTATTAATAAATAAATCACTAATTAGTATCTTGTAGTGTAGTACTTATGGCGGCCAATCAAATAGACGTACACCATGTATACCACATGCAATCAACTGATGGAGATTAAATATTAAAGGGAAAAGGGAACTTTTGAAGATAGAGAGTCCCACATCGAGAAAAGGGAACTTTTGAAGATAGAGACTCCCACATACGAGAAAAGGTCACAAATAGAGTTTTCCCTCTAAGTTATATATTTATAGCACTTTTTTCCCCTCAATTATTTATGTAAGCACATTTAGGGGTGTTAGCGAACAGAGCTTTCGGCAAACTACTTGTGTTTGTGTTCGGTAAGTGTTCGTTTATGTTCGTTTGTTAGGTAAACGAATATTAACAAACAAAATTTAGAACTCGGTTAATAAACGAACAGAGCTTGAACAGTTGTAAGCTCGTTTGCTAAAAGATCGTGAACAAGCTCGTTTATGTTCGTTTAATAATGTTCGTGAACAAACTCGTTTGTGTTCGTTTAATAATGTTCGCGAACATGTTCACAAACATATATATTATATTATATTATATTATATTAGTTATGTAGTTGTGTTGTTTGTTTGATTATTGTTCGTGAACGTAGATTATTTATTGTTCACGAATGAATTGTGATCATGAACATGTGCATGTGTTTGTTTATTAAGTGTTCGTGAACATAAATAAATATATGTCCGTGAACGTGCTTGTTAATGAACATGCATGTTTGTGAACGTGTTTGTTAACGTTAACGAACATGTTTGCAAATGTGTTTACGAACGTTAACAAACACGTTCGTGAACATGTTCGTTAATGTTAACGAACACGTTCGTGAACGTGTTCGCGAACGTTAATGAACACTAACAAACGCTTAACAAACGAACACGAACAAGATTTTCAAAAACCTTAACAAACGAACACGAACACAAACACTCCAAATTCCTTAACAAACGAACACGAACAACCTCCGTTCGTTTATGTTCGGTTCGTTAACAGCCCTAAGCACATTAGCCCCCTCAATTATTTTAAAAGTGATGGTTTTTCCCCCTGATATATTAAATTGACATTTCTACCCTTAAAGTAAACATTTTATTTATTTTACTTCTCCAACAAATTATTGTGTATATGTAGCGATGACCACGGTTTGGTTCGAACTGAACCGGACACTATAGTAATCGAATTAAAAGTTTTCGGTTATGACTCAGATCTAAAACCCAATATTTGGATTTCTATTTATTAAATTTATGAATTAGAAAAACTGGACCCTGAACCGTGAACCGGATGTTCCGGATCCTGTTCGCGATTTTGAACCTGTCTTTATTTTAAAATAGTCTAAATTCAACAAAAATATATTTTATTTTTTCAGTTCGGAACATGAACTGGTCATTCCGGTTCGCGATTTTAATAAAATCTAAATATCGCGTTTTGATTCTAAATTGTAATTGGAATATTTTGGTTTGGTTGCTATAGTATCTCTTTGTTTTGAACCAAATTATAGTAATAATTTGTTAAAGAAGAAAAATAAATGAAGTATTTATTTTAAATATTTATTTTAAGGGTAAATATGTCCATTTAACATTTCAGGGGGAAAAAGAGCCACTTAAATAATTCAGGGGGAAAAGTGCTATAAGTATATAACTTAGGGAGAAAAAGTGTTATTTTCCCAATATTAAATACAGTGAAAGAAGATGACAAAATTCATTATGAAGACATTGGCCAACAGGTCAATTTTGACTTATTTGACCACTATTAATTGTTTGATTTAGTTAAAATATTAATAAGTACTTGGTTAATTAGCTTTTTGCAACTCCAAAATGCTAAAATTCAAAAAGCTACACCAAACAACTTTTTCAGAAAAGAAATTATACCAAACAGCTATCAACTAACAGCTCATTTACCAAACACTTTTCTACAACAACTAATGTTATCAACTAGTTATACCTTCTAAGTAACACAATCAGCTAACAGTCATTTATCAAACATGGCCAATATATCCAAACGGGCCTACTCGCCAATCCATATATATATATATATATATATATATATATATATATATATATATATATATATATATAATGGCGGATCCAGAAAATTTGTTCAGTGGGGGCAAAATATTAAAACAAAAAGAATAACTTAAGAAAGATGAAATAGTTAAGAAGTTAGCCATAAACATTATTCGATATGAGCACAAAATAAAAAAAAAATATTTATAACAAAATATGAAATATATAATTAATTTGATAAAATAATTCTAATAAAAACACATTATAAATTACACATCTTATTATGACTAGAAAATACATTATAAATTACAGATATGAAGTTTGCCATAAATATTGTTAAATATGAGCTCCAAAAAAATATATTTATAACAAAATATAAAACATAATTAATTTAATAAAATAATTATAATAGAGAACACATTATAAACCAAGACTATGTGGTCTAATGGTACCCGAGTTGGACTTCCATTTGGAAGGTTACGAGTTTGAGCCTCAGTGAAGGCGTTATTGGTTCTTTGTGTTTCAGTAGGTTGAGAAAGTATATGAACAGATACTACAATGTAATAGGGCCAGTAACATTCAAAAAAAAAAAGAGAACACATTATAAATTATACATCTTATTATTAATAGAAAACACTTTATAAAAGTATACACATATTTTCGAATGCCCACTGTTATTCAAATAGCACTCTTACTTTTGACGCCACATAAAATAACCGTACGGTGTTGTGATTAGAGAGAATTGAACCCCCGTCCTTCCACAAAGAAACAAGCCTGCTCTGCCAACTACACTAAATTTAATTATGTTAATATTAGCTATTTTATTTTACTTATACTAAATCTTGTACTATATATACATACATATATACATACAAGGGTTATATATGAGGTGGGGTTGGGGTGAGTGGGGGCAGCTGCCCCCACACTGGGTCCGCCCCTGTATATATATATATATATATATATATATATATATATATATATATATATATATATATATATATATATATATATATATATATAGGGTCAGGTTCCTGTGAGGTCAGGCCTTCCTGTGCGGTCAGTGCGGCATACACCATTAAGTATGTAAAAATGCACCACACAGTGTTCGTAAATACACCATTATGTGTGGTGTATTTTTGTAGATTGTAATATTTATGGAAAAAAAAAAAACCCCGCTCATTTCAAAAATTTAAAATATTTATGGAAATGACTCCACTAAATTTTTACTTGATTTCCCATCCATCGATCTTGCAGATCAATGATTTGGATTTGTCCACAAGTTCTAACACGGGGTGTGGTTCTCATATGATTAGGATTCTCTCTCTCTCTCTCTATATATATATATATATATATATATATATATATATATACACACACTAAATATAATAAGTGTCAATATAGTTAAGCCTCTAACAAAAAAGTGTTGGTATAATTGTTTGTTTGAATAAATGGTTCGTATTATTTTTGTTTTAATATTTTATTACGACTTTTCCTACTTTACCTTTTATTTGTTTGTTTATTATTATTATTATATTATTATTATTTTTTCTCTTGAATATCCCCGCATTCCGTCACTGTAAAATTAAAAGTTATAATAATGTCTATCTTTATATTAATATAATATGGAATATTGAGTAAGGAAGTATATATATAGAAATATTTAATGTAAAGAGTTAATACAACAAATGGTTTTCTAATTTTCTTTTGTTGAATGCTACTGGCTCTATTACATTGTAGTATTTTCTGTTCATATACTTTCTCAACCTACTGAAACACAAAGAACCAATAACACCTCCACTGAGACTCAAACTCACAACCTTCCAAATGGAAGTCCAACCCGGATACCATTAGACCACATAGTTCCGGTATTAAGTTAGTACTTAATTTAGTCCACTTTCAATTCAACCAAAACACATGACTTTTATTTTTTGTCATAAATAGTTTTTCGTTAAATTTATGTTAAATGAGTGTTAAATCTAAAGGTATTATTGTCAAATTAATTATTATGATTATGATTAACTCTTTTAGTTAATTTAATATGAATATGATCATAAAATCAAAGTTACGAAGCAAGAATAAATTAGGATGCAATTATCAAACAACATACTACGAGTTGATCTTACCTCAAAAGGCTGAATCCCCAACCCGACAGCGCACAAGGAATCTGCCCACTTTGGACATAATTTTCACACTGTCGTCGCTGAAATTCGAACCTTGGTCTCTTACCTCAAATACTACCCACTAAACTATTGAGCTAAGCCCGTGCGGGTACTGTGAGTTGATCTGTTTCTTGGACTAGCTGCTTCAGGTCCAATTAGGTTGTCTTTCGAAAAGCTTAAAAATGATATCCTCCAGCTCTCCATGGTCCCTTCTAGTTCTTTTGACTTCAGGTCCCTTACCTGGAGCTGCATGCTTCTTCTCCTGCACAGAGACCAGAAATAGAAAGTGACTGTTATTATTCCAATCACATGAAGGGAAGCACAGAAACCAAAAATAGAAAGTTGAACCTTGAGTACATTAATGGAAATAAAGGCAATCATACATACTTGCCAGGCTATGGCTAGCTAACATTCCTAACAAGATTGATACGAGGTTCAAACATCAAAGTGAGATGACAACGAATCAAACGTAGAAGATAATAAGGCAATGGTGGGACGAAAACAGAACGATATATAATCTACTCTACCTGTATCTGTCTGTTCTTAATCATCGACTTATTTGTTCTTTCACCACACATTTTCCTGTATTCCTCCATATTCCTAGTGTGAGGCTTCATGTCAAATCGATGTTCGATTCTCCCTTCCATCGCAACCTTTCTGTAAAATACCAAATCAAATGAGGAATAAGATAATAATCACTTCAATTATACATTTATATATACCAATGAACAATTCACTTAGTACAAAATTAATTATTAATTAATATAAAAATATTAATGTACTTTTTAAATTGGCAAGTTGTGTGATTAAGAAAATTAAAGTACTCGCATGGGCAGCTCAACTAGTCACAGAATTGAAATTTTGGAAGAATGATCAGGAATAGAGTCTCACCAACGACAGTGTGGGAGCTACCTCTCAAAGTGATGGAGATTTCTTGTGCGCAATGAGCAAATGTCTAGCCTCCCTTTTAGAAGAAGAAAATTAAAGTGGTGAATGTGTGTGATATACAAAGAAAGAACGTGGGTTAGTGCATGTGTTTATGTGAGAGATTTAAGGAATGTGTCACGAAATGAAAGCAGTAGCATGTGTACGTGTCTGAATTGAAGTGCAAAGTGCGTGAGTTAATTGCATGTCTAGCCTTCCTTAATTGCATGTAGTAGTGTGAAAGTAGTAGCATGTGTACGACTGTACGTGTGTAAAGTGGGTGAGTTAATTAAGGAAAAATATGAAGTAGTGGAAAATAAGGGATGAGTTAATTAAGGAAATATGAAATAGTGGAAAATAAGTAGTATGTGTATGTGGGTGAATTAATTAGGGAGATTTTGTACATATTTTTTTAAAAAAAGAAAAAAGTTTTGATGTGTTGGAAGAGAGCAGAGAGAGGAGAGAGAGGGTTGGGATTTTTTAGGTTATTTGAGGGATTTTGTCAGAATTTTAAGAGATTCTGAAAGATTTTTTAGAGTTTTTTAGTTTTTGATTTTATTTTTTATTCTTCCTTCTTTTTTTTTTTCTTTTTCACTCATTTCTCTTTTCTAATCACACCTGCAAAATCTCATCAAAATCCTACTATTATTGAGGATGTTCTTGCCACTTAGAGCATCCGCATCAGTTGTGGAGATTTGGGAGAGAATGTAAGAGTGATTAAGAAAGAGAATGTGGGAAGGGGAGGAAAAAAGAAAAAACCAAAACCAAAACCAAAAAAAAAAAAAAATTTAAAAAGTATTGGAGCGCCGTTCGGCACACCTGACGCGCGTGCACTGCACGCGCACGACTGTGGTCATGCCGTGCGCCAAACGCGCACAGCATGTGATCCCTTTTTTTTTTTTTTTTTTTTTTCATGCTCCCCATACATGCATACCCATTCTTCTCCCCATTCTTTCTTCTCCACACTAGTTATTCACCCCATCCAAAAGAAAGCATCTGACATTATCTCCACATTCTCCCCTTAGTGTGGATGCTCTTAGTGTGCCATGAATCTAGGGGTCAAAAGAAAAATTCTACATTATAAATTCACATCTTTATAATGTAGGATTTGAAGTTTCCAAAACAAGACAAATTGAAATATTATATATTCTGGAAGGTGCTACAAGAAATTATTCAGAATACGCTACAAGGAAACTTTCATACAAGGAAAGATTGGTGTACTATTTGGAGAAGTCAGCTCCATTTTATATTAGTACTAATTTTTTACGCGATTTGCGTGAATGAGATAATACCCAATTATAATTTTTAAATAAGTATTTCAAAGTATATCAATGCAATATTATATAGAAGATGTTCATGCATAGGTACATAAATGTTGAATTTGTTTATTTAAATCGGTAATTTAAAGTATATAAATGCAATATAATATATGAGAGATTGATTATAATTGTCACTAAAATAAATGTTTGCAACTTTAGCTCTATTACATTGTAGTATCTGTTCATATACTTTCTCAACCTACTGAAACACAAAGAACCAATAACGCCTCTACTAAGGCTCAAACTCACAACCTTCCAAATGGAAGTCCAACCCGGGTACCATTAGACCACATAGTCTTGGTGTCTAAATACTTAGTCTAAAAATGATAGTTTAAATAAATACTATTTTTGGTTTAAATTTCTCTAATTCTTCTTAATTCTATTTTGGGTAGCATTGTCATTGCTTTAATCTTCAGTACATGTCCTTTTTTTTATCTTTTTTTTTTAATTGGTAGTGTGTATATCGGAATCCATTTCATTTTTTACTGAAAACCCGTGCATGTTCTGAGAAAAATTTCCCATCTGAACAAGGAAAAAACATGTACAATTGGGTTACTGGTGGTAGCATAGAGGGATTCATTGTGCAATGAGATTATGATGTAGGAAGCTTTAGATTTACCTTATTGTGTATATGATGAGATCTTTAGTTGTACTATGAACTCTTTATCTTACAATCACCTATTGATATTTGGTAGTGGTAATTTTTCCCATACATGTTTCATGCATTGTGAGATGTGTGTCGTGGGTTATCATGTGAAAGTATTGAACAAAATATTAATATTTATTATATTTGTATAAAATATTTGATAAATAAATATATATAACATATTTTGTATTATCACTACTGGAAATTATGAAATTTTCGACCACTTGAAAGTGATTTTAAATCAAGTCAAAAGCCTTCTTCCGATCACTTTTGGTATCTGGAAAAACCATTGTTGCTATACCCGACCACTTTTTGCTTTTGAATTGATTTAAGATTAATTTCAGGTGGTCGTAAATTCCATAATTTTCAGTAGTGTATAACTTTGATATTTAATTACAAGATAATGTAAAAAGAAGACAATGGACAATGTACTGAATATAATAAATTAATAAATTTGAAAGTAGTGAGTCTTTGAATTGTAGAAAATAAAGATAATATAACTAGTGAAATTATATCTCTTTTTAAATTTTTTTATAATGAATAATTTTTTTTTAAAAAAATAAAGACATTATAGACATCTAATTCTAAATTAATTAAATGCATATGTATTATTTTTTGGTGTAGCTACTAATTTATTTAATTTAATAAGAATAATAAAGTGGCATACATACTTTTCATCAACAATACTGAAATCAATGATTTTTTAAAAAAAAAATTTCCATTCGTTGTTGGGACAAATTGTTTTGAGAGTTTGTCAATGACAATTGTTACAATTTTTGTCAATAGAGGATGATAATAAATAATTTAAAAAATATAGTTACAATAGTTATTGTTATAATGATATAGTAAAAATTAACTTACAAATATCTTTAGAAATTTTCATGCATTGATAAAATTCTGATGTGTAAACTTGTTCAATTGGAGCCAGTGTGATGTCAATATTGTCAATTTTTTGGAAAATGATCCTATCATTTTAGAGTTCATGTGTAATTGTATTTATGATCAACAACTTTATAATTAGGTCGCGCAGGTCTGACAATAATGTAAGAACAATTTTGTCCGATAAAAAAAATAATAGTATAATATTTATAAAGTAATATACAATTGTACCATTATAAAAAAAATACATACAATAAATATTAATACCATAACAACCTAAATCATTCCAATAATGCAAAAATATAATTGAAATATTAAATTTTATTCTAAATAATCAAAATAAGATTAATTAAACGAAGAAAAAAAAACTTAACAAATTTAAAAAAAAATACATAAAAATCAAATGATTTTTAATGTTCATGATTCATAATGTTTGAATACTATGTATTTAGTCGGACTAATTATTTGACCAAAGTTTATGTTAAATTTTATATTATATATATTTTTTAATTTAATACATTTTAACATATTTATTGGGATGGGTTTGAACTTAAGACTATTCTTATAGTAATTAATGATTAAGTTAAGAATAATAAATAATTAATGGAATATTACATTACTAAAGTTTATACTAACGGAATTTAAGTTATTTAAGGGAAGAAAATAATATAATAGATGGTAAAGCATAATAAATATAAAAAGCATAATATATATATATATATATATATATATATATATATATATATATATATATATATATATATATATATATATCATAAATTAATAAACTATATATGTATATGTACGGACATATACATCTAACTGGAAAATTATTGTGTGGACCATGGTCCATATTGTGTTGTATGAACCATAAAAGAAAGTACATTTTTAATATACTAAAAGTATATTATTTTTGTACTGGATGTACATTATTAAAAATAATATACTTTTTATATTCAAATATTTCCTGAATACAAAATACATTTTTAATATACTAAAAGTACATTATTTTTGTTCTAAATATACACTATAACAAAATACGATCCACATTGCATCTAACTATATTGGGCTCAGTTTTGTGGAGCAAACCATGAATCCAACACACTGAAATATTAAGGCCCATATTTCATTCATAAATGCTGAGTACAAAATTGTGTGACCCGGCCCACCCGTATAACTACAACAACACACACCGACAACCCAATCATTATACCCTGCACTATGGCGCACATAGCATTATATGTCTTGCGCCTCCCAAAATGACGTCGTTTTGTGAAGTTATATAGGAAGTTGCCGTGATTATGTGTATTTGTTTACATAATTATGCGTATTTGTTTATACAATTATGTACATTTTTTATATACATCCGAAATAGGAAAATTTATGTGTATTATGTTAAGAGTTTATGTGTATTATATTAAAAGTTTATGTATATTATGTATTATGTTAGATTATGTGTATTATCTTTTAAAAAAATGTATATTT